GGAACCGCCGGTGGGGTTTTAACAAAGGCCGATAGGTTTGAGGGTTCGCCCCCACCCCCCCACACCCCCTTATCCCGGGTGAGGCGTGCCCCGCTGCCACCGGGCGCGGTTGGGGTGGCATTTACCGCCTGGCCACGCTCGATGCACTCATGGCAAAAGTGAAGCCTGCTCTGCACCAAGGACGTACCCTGCATTTATTATTCTCAAAACGCCGAGGCGTTTCCTATTAGCCAGCAGAGACGGATGGAGCCCTGGCACCGAACTGCCAGCTCCTCTTTCCCTTGCCCCAGATCTTCGCCCTTCTCTGGCGAAGCTCTGAGCCTGCAAAAAGGCTGTCCTGACCTGCCGAAGGGCTGGTGAGAAATGAAATATTTGGAGAGAGGGGGAACCGAAGGGTTCGGGCAGGGTGGAAGAGGCTTTCCCCGGATCGGCCCGGGAGGAGAGCCGCCGAAGAGCTTCACCCTCCGCCACGGATTTTCCAATGCCCTTCTCCGCCCCGCGTAGCTGGAGACACAGCCGTGCGGGGAAACGGCAGCGCCGCAAACCTCTCCTTTGAAAATTATTTACCGGCGAGTAAAATTCCTCAACAGCTGTCTTTGATACAACTAAAAAGCCCCGCGTCTGTCCCCAGCAATTTCAGCTCTGTGGGACCCGCTGTAATTATATGATACAGATGCGAGCAGGCTGATGCTCTGCAAACTTGACGTGTCTCTCAAAGTCATTCCTAACTTCTCCTCGCCTTCTGTTTTGATTTCCTCGAGTCGTTTTCGTATTTTTTTTTTTTTCCGTTTTGCTTTTGTTGGCTTTCGCGTCTCGAGAATGAGGCTTAGTGGGGAATTGTGGAGTATTTTCAGATGGCAGTTGCCAAAAGGGGGGGAGTAATTGGAAGGAAAATAAAGGCAGGAGGAAAGGAAGCATAAAATGTGGGCTGAAGTATGAACGTTGTATTTTGCAAGTTTAAGCCAGCCAAGTAAACAAATCGCTGCATAGTACTCCGTAACAGAACTACATTCTCTGCGTTTTATTTACATTTCCTGAAATCAAAGCCAATCTCTTTATATCGAAATTCAGCACCGGGAAGGAATGTGAGCACTGAGCTATTTTTTCCCCGCACTGTTTCAAAGATTTAATTCTTTCTAGGGATAAAGAGTAACAGCAACTCCCTGCTTTCTAACAAGAGCCTTCCTATCAAATGTTTGTCTACAATGGCATTGCTAAACTCATTATGATTAATTATTTTTTTCCTTGGGCAGTAAAATTATATTGAAATTAAAAAGTGGTTATGCGTCGTCATAGTAAGTAATAACTTGGCACGGTACGCTCCATTATAATCGTGGATAAATTACGGCGAGAACAGATTCCAAAGCTTTCTAACAAGAGCCTTCCTATCAAATGTTTGTCTACAATGGCATTGCTAAACTCATTATGATTAATTATTTTTTTCCTTGGGCAGTAAAATTATATTGAAATTAAAAAGTGGTTATGCGTCGTCATAGTAAGTAATAACTTGGCACGGTACGCTCCATTATAATCGTGGATAAATTACGGCGAGAACAGATTCCAAAGCAACAAAGTCTTCTCTAGTATGAACCACATCAAGATACTGCTTAATACACAAGCCATAATCATGTAGTGCTCCCAGGTCGCTTATAACTTACGAGCACCGTTTTATCACTACCTTTTACTTCCCGGAAAAGCTCAGAAGGCAAAGAGAGGTAGTCCAGAGCTCACAAGGAAAAAAAAAAATACAATGAATCCCTCCTAGAGGATTATTTTTAAAGCGTGAGAGAATATTGCGGTGACCGAAACCTTGCAATCTGCGCTCGTTCGCCGTTTCCTCGACTGGAAAAAAATACATTCAAATGAAAAGTGCGTTTTCAGGCGCAGGGATCCAGCCTGGTTTTGTGTGCGACAAAACGAGAGATTTCAGAGGCTGTTTCAGAGGCAGCGTTATGCCTAACACGCAGAGGGTGGGGGAAGTAAATAAGGTGGCGGGGACCCGTGTCTGGGGGTGCTTTAAAGATTTATTCAGTCAAGACTTTCTGAGAAATCTTAAGGGTTGGCAGGAAAAAAAGCTGAAAGCAAAATATAGAAAAAAGGTGGCGGCAGTAAGGACACACAGGCAAAGAAAAATACATAAACGTGCAAATTGTACAGAATCAGAGAGCTCGAAATACAACCACCCATCTAATCTATTCGGTCCTACGCTATCCGTATTTAAGTCTAGACATTGGTTATATTTGCTGTTTCTTTCTTCTTGCATCTTGGTATGTTGTCACCAGAGGAGCAATTTATTGGTCTAATGTCATCTACTTCAGCCTCTTTGATCTTCTTAGTCGTCGTCCTGTTTGCTTCGCATTCGTTTAACTTCTTGGGCCTTTATTCCTTTCCAGCAGCCTCTTCTGCCGGCGTGTTCCCACATCGCGATTGCGACCGCAGGGATATCGTCTAATATCGGGGAATTGGAAGAAATAACCGAAGGGGGCTCTTTCGCCAGCTTCTCCCTTAC